TGTTTCTGCCTAGAATTTTAAGGGCTTTTACACTTAATGCGTTGCTTCAACAGACAAGTTAAATTGGCTAGCTGAGTGAATAGCGTCTCCTGCTCTTAAGCTGTAGGAGATCATAAGGATAAGAAAAATGATGGGATAAAAAAGCAGGGGAAGACACTGACATTGTGGCTCCCAGTGTTCTGGACTGGTATTATTGCCACTAACAGCAATAACAAAAATGTATCTGAATATCTTAAGTTTTCTATTATATTTAAAGGTAGGTATTCCAGAGAGACTGAATTAATTTAAAATGTGTTTTTCTTAAGATTTAAAAGAAAATCCAGAGAAAATTCTATTCAGTCCTAGCATACATTCTATTTTCCAGATTTTAGCATAGGGGCCCAGCAGTAATACTTTTTTCAGAATTTAATGTTGATACCAAAACCCAGCATTCCCAAATGTCAGGGAATTGCCATTTACATGTGTTCATGCACACATACAGAGGCGAACAGCTGCTCTCCGTGTTGGTTTTGAAGACAACCAACAGCTTGAACAACATTGTTCTGAAACGAGAGCAAACAAAGAGTGTTTTTCAGTCTCTACCTTGTTCCTGTCTAGAGAGAGGGAGGAAGAGTGAGGAAGAAGTGTCACAGGTCACTGAAGTGGTAGAAGGGGTAGTGCATCCCCACCACTTCATTTGTGCCACTTGCAGGACAGTGTCCCTCTCGTGCAGGATACGGGCCCTGGCTTAGAGCAAACAAGGAATGGACCTCACAGAGCAAATAGGCTTCAGTTCCTGAGTATTGAACTATTCACATTTTAACAGGGGGAAAGGACCACTTCTATAAGAAGGATGTCTTCTACTAGGGTTTCCAGGCTGCCTTGGGGCGCTGAGGCCCCAGAGGTGTCCTGGGACCCTGGGCTTCTCTGCCCAGCCGTGACTGACCCTGAAGGCTGCTGTGCTACCTCGGGCAGGTGGGACTGTGGAGCAGTGGAAGAGCTGCGGTGGCATGCTGCCCATGCCTGAAACAAGCGAGGTGGTGGCAGGGACACCTGAGCTGTATTCACTGTCGAGGCTGGGACCATGGCGGGGTGGCAGGCAGAGAAAGGTGCTGCTCTCTTTGTGAGAGGTGGTAGGGGCAAGATCTGCCTGCCAGGGTAGCAGTCTGAGCTATTTTCTGTTGCTTTCTCCATGCAAGATTTGCACCATTACAGGCATGCAGATGATCTCCCCGTCTTCTAGCCATTCATCACTAGACAAAAATACATCCTGGGGGTCCAGATCCACTCCTTACTGATGCCGTTTCACTTCAAAATTAATTCCCTGGGGAGCCAGAAGGGCTATTCTAGGCATTTGCTGGGGCCCAAGACAAACTTGGGTGTCATCTCCCAGGGCAACACCACAGGACATGCTGAACCTAATCAGAGAGCTACTGTGATGCCCAATTACCTCATGGGTATTATATATTTACTTATTAGAAACTTACTAATAATTATGCTAATTATTGAAAATAAATCTAGGCAAGGACAGTAGTAGTGTCCTGTTCTTCTTGCTGTGTACAATCCTGTTTTGCAGATCACTTTATGGAAGTATCTTAAAAATAAATATAATAAATAAAAATACATTCAAGGATCACCGCTCTGCTCTTTTTTTTTTTTTCTTGCTTCTTCTCATAGCTTGATTCTTAAGTGCTTTACAGCAGAAAAGCTCTACCAAGGATTTATGTCAATCACTAGTGAGCCTTCACCAGTTTTTCAAGACTGCTGACAAGTGAAAAATAGAGTTCATTGTGCAGACTTGAATCACAGCAGCAAACACTGGTATGGTATTGGTATGAAGAAGTTACATCATCAAAAGCAAAAAGTAGAAGCGATTTAACTCCTCCACGAGCAGTACTTGTTCCAGATAGTCAGCTAAATTTGGAAGCAAGTATAAAGGGAAATGTAATGTCCACCTTCAAAATACTCACTTGCCATGCTTCCTTTAGTCTTAGTAAGTGGACAAATAACAGGAATGATTCAAGAGTTAGTAAGAGTGAGATGAGCTGTCACCATGAAAAGTATTAACATACTTCATAATAAAAGCAGATTCTCTCATTTTTATTTTTGAGTGAAGTCATGATTAAAAAAAAAAAACTAAACAATTTGTAGAATCTTTCCCTGCAATGTTTCACTAGGAAACTAGTGCAGCAAAAAAACCAAAAACAAACAAACAACCAGCAGCTCCAGGCTGGCCCCTCTCTAAGCAGCAGTACGTGCACGTAGCCGGAAGAGAAGCTCTGCATTTCTGTTACAGGCACCCTCAGAGAACAGCTCTTGCACACTAAACAGAACAGCGTCTACCGGCCACAGCTCCAAAGTTTTCTTCCCCTTATTTTCTTTGGCAAGTAATACCCAGAGAGCAGATGCTGGGCATGCAAACTGGCGGGTATGCTCTCACTAACAGCCTGGATGCCAGAGTTTGGAAGCCTTCTCCTTAAGAGCTCTTCTGCCACCAGTCTGCATTTCCTCCATGTATTGCCAAGACCTCAGAAAGCAAGTACATGGCGAAGGAAACAATGGTGAAATACGCTGAGGCTCTGACAACTACTCCTTCATTTGCTATTACACCCACCTCCAGAAAACATCCTAGGACAAATTAACATACACGTATTTTGAAATTAGTCATATTTTTTCCTGGGAGTAAGAAAAGCTAAGAAACAAGTTAGAGTCATAAATGAAAATGTATTTCACCTTTATACATGCTATACAGGTCATGCAAATACAGAAATCTACAGGTTATACAATGACACCATAATAAAATATAATGTGACATTTGTCAAACACAATGTATCACAGCAAAACCAACCGGTTTTGCATAGATGAAGGACTAATCTGGAAGACACATTACCATGCTACAGCTTACTGCACAGTCAAAAGAAAGTATTTCTCTGAAGAATGCCAACAGAAGTAGAGCTGGATTGGTGTAGGTAGAATTTTTTTATACATCGCACAGAAGGTTGTTGGTTACTTGCCCATTGCTGGCTTTAAAGAGCACAAGAACAGGGCTACAACAGAGCTCAAGTTACACTGTGAACTCCCATGTGAAAAAAAAAAAAACCAACAACCCAAACAAAAAAAAAAAAAGAAAAACCAACCAAACAACAAACCAACACACCAAAAAAACAAGCCACCTCCCACCCACCAGGTTTTCTCTTGTTTTGTGTTAGTGTCCAAAGAGAGCTGTATTTATAATTTTAAGCTTATAAGAAACTGGACAACATCATCCTCAAAGCAGCACATGATCTAGCATAAAGTTATTGTAGTTTAACTAACAGAAATAAATTTAACCCTGCCTGGCACATAATGTCTAGATGTCATACATCCTGCTATGAATTCTTCCATCCAGATGCTTCCAGAACATCCAGGGGGCTACAGCAGTGCTCCCCCCGGTTGTGTCACAGCCTTTGCGTCTCTGCTGCAACTTTTGCATGTTGTTTTGCTGCTGACTAAATCTGGTTTGGTTGAGCCTATAGAAAGACAAAATACTTCTCCACGTGATAGAAAGCCTGCTGGTATTAATCAAGTGTCTGCATCTTCAAAGATTAACATGTTATCTCACCCCCCAACTACTCACTTGGATCTACTACAGCTATTCTACATATATATATATATATATATATATTAAGGGATTACACTAGGCATTTTGCCTACTTTGTTTACGGGTGTTACACAAGTATGTTTTTTAACACATAGTTGATAGTTGCTCCCAGACTAATGAATGTTAACCAGTAAGTGCCACTAGTGACTAAAAGTGTCAACATAACCATAACGGAACAGCTCCCACACTCCACAGTCAATAAGAAGGCTCTTGATTCCAGCAGTTATATATTGTTCAAGTGTCTTCATCTGCAGTTTTCAATTATACACCTCCATAAAAGTTATCAATAACTCCTTGTTGAAGACAAAAAAGATAGGCACAAAACCAAAGTACAGCATATTATTTCATTTCAATGCACTGAGGGCAAACGTCATCATTATTTACAAGAAAAAGATGTCTAAATGGATGTATGGCAAAGGTTAATGAAGAATTATTTCAAAATAAAATGCACAGGTAAATAAAAATCACAGTGAAGTGTTGAGATGAATTTTAAATTAAAAGAGAAAATAAGTGCTTTATTTGCAGTTAAAGCTCAAATCCTAATGCACACTTGGTCTTCCCTGAAACCACCAAAGCTCTAGATCATTGGTTTCTACCAAAAGCAGCCAGTTACTCAACATGTTCCCTGGGAAGACAAAGTTATATTCAGCTCTGATTATTTGAAATCCAGTGTTCAAAGACTGCAGAAGCTTTTTCAAGAGACAAGCTCATATTTTACTGCCAGTAGCCTCACAGGGATTTGTATCTTTGACAAATTGCTACCTCCGTCAATTAAAAAAAAAGAGAGAGAAGAATATCAGGTCAGCCGTGCAGGTCAGATGACCTAAGATTTGAAATACACTCTTTAAAAAAAATTGACTGTGGCATTGTACTTTGCAACTGTCACTGAAGCCTATTATGCTTTTTTACTATGCAGGCTTTCCAGGACAATTCTACACCGTGCTGCAAGTATTTACAGCAACAGAAAAGGATAAGCAGCAGCAACAACTACCATCTTCTACATGGCCCCACTTTCAACTGTTTTCTTCATGCAAATAGGTTCCAAAGACTTATAGGAAAGGAACTGTATTAATGGAGAGAAAACCCAACTCTTCTCACTATATTCTGAATGCATAAAGGAAACATTTCCATTTCCCAGACACGTTTGGTTGCTATGATATGCTCAATCTGCACATGCAGCCAATTGACAAAGAGCTGCAAGTATGAAAGGTTATGCTGAATTTAAATATCTAGGAGACCAGCCTTCTTCCTCTCTCCACATACGCTGTTTACAACTGCTGTATTTTGCTGGGAAGCTCATAAGTAATCACAGAAATTTATCATATCTAAGATGTTTATCACAATACTGTACCTTTGTCTGTTCTGCTGAAAAGTGAGGTTGTCAACAGATAGAATTAAGTGTATTTTCCTGTCCTGGACTGTTAAATCCCTCAATCAAGTTTTTGTTACAGTCATCTAGACTAATGGTATCACTGGATGTCTTAGAATATGTAGCTTGGCCTGTGAAATCCAAGAGATCTTCAAGAGCCTTGGCATTGCTTGTCCCATTTTGGTCCAAAGAAACACCGGGCATGAGTTCATTCATGGGTGAATATTCAGGGATAGAGATAAGTTCTTCTTTTGAAACCGGGCTATATAAAAGATAAACAAAAGGAAGATGCACAGTAAGAGGTGTGTAACTTTTCATTAAGCAATAACCAAATTAATCTTCTGACTGTCCAAAACCTTCTACCTATCTTGAGGCCGGCTGCAGCAAGGCTTTACCTAGAGTATGTCCCAGTCCAAACAAAAAGAGGTTACCCTCTTCAGGATGGAAGGTCACACCGAATCCACATTCTTTAAAGACTAATGTTTGTGATAGCTGTGTGATATGAACACTCATCTCTGAAAAACACATTTCTGGTAGTTTAGTGTCAAGTCATCATTTCAGTCCCTCCACCATTCCCTTACTTAAATTTTTATTGCATCTTGTAGATTATTGTCCTCACTCATCTAAATCACTTATCTAAAGCACTCACAATTCACAACTTGAATAAGAAGTTCCTTCCTACAACCTTGAAATATACTTCAGATATTAAAAATCCTAGAATTAAATTTAAGAAGCACGGCTACCAGGCAACATTGCCAAGACCAGTAGGGCGAGTGCATTTCAGTTTGGAGAAGAGAAGGCAGAAGGATTTCACAAAGACTTCAAAAACCAGGAAGAACTGGTGGGTAAGCTGAGAGCAAAACTACTGTGCATCACCTCCTGCAACACAAAACCTAGGGAGTGCCCAATAGCACTGGAAAGAGAGTGGATTTAATGCCTGTCAATGTAATTTACCTAGTGAGACTGTACTGTAGAACTTGCTGCCAGCTGAGGCCCTGGGTACAAAAATTATCAGCAGGTTGAAAAAGGAGTTGGATAAACTCACAGGCAACAGGTCCATCTGTGGCTATTTAGAAAGGCAAGGCATATTTGTGCCCTCTAACATGCCCCATGTAACACCTAACACTTCTGTGTGGTCTTGGGGTGTAGAAAGTGGTGGGCTCAGGTGTTCTAACTAGCTTTTTGTATTGATACTCTCCTGAGACAAATAGTGGGCTGGATGGACTTCTGGTCTTGTCCCAGTAGGGAGGGCATTTCCTATGTATTTCTACAGATTTACTGGCAATTCTGAAACAGTATGAGAGGTTAAATTGGCTTGCTGATTAAGGAAGCAATGTATAACGATTCCATGTGAAAAATTCAGAGCTAGATTTCTCAGAACAGCCTTAAATTATCAATTTCTTTCCTCCAAGTCCTTCCATCAAAAGCCAACAGTATTTAATACACACTAAGCTATTTACTCATTTCCACATATTTGTTCCAATTAAGTACTTCAAATACTCAATTAATGTTTTCTTTATTCTGGTTGTATGGAGGGAGAAAAGCTCATGCATCATAGCTATACAGTTTTGACACCAATTTAAAAAAATAAAAGGTGACATGTGGCAATATCTGCAGTAGCTACTTTCCCAGAACAATCTGAAAGGTTTGGGCAAACTTGTATGGAGTCCATAAGACTGTAAAAGAACTTCAGAGCCCTCTCCCTTGCCAAATATGCAAGAGTAAGATGATGTTCTGTTGACTCTTGTCTGAAACAACCAATTTGCACCTTGACAGGAGTGGACTACACCACAGTAGACCCCCGACTGCCCCATTGTGGAGCAGGTGAGAAGTAAAGCAGTAAGTAATAACAAACGAAACAGAGAAATTTTGTCTGTCTAATATGAATTCCACAGTTTCTGTTGGTAGATACTCTTTGTACCTCACATCCATAGACTGAACCTCATCTGCTGAATCTTCCATGCTGTTAGATTTCCCATCAACAGCTTCCAGCTGAATAAGTCCTGGAACTGACTTCAGTCCATTAGCAACTACATCTTGGGAAGGGATTACAGTGGAATCACTTTCTAAGCTTTTATTTTTCAGGCAGGTTGTCAATCCATTGATCTCTACAAAAGAAGGTTAGAAATCATGAAAGCAGCAACTTCTTTATTTAAATAGTTTTTTAAAAATCATAAATGCTTTGATGTCATATATTGAGCAGAAAGAAACACTGACAGTGCAGTAGGACTCATTTTCATCTATGGCTCATCATATTATGCTGTCAATCCTCTCTTCCACTCTAAACTTGCTCTTTATGCTACATCTTCTAAATTTGAAGAAACAGGAAGAGAATGTTTTACATCATGTACTAAAAGCCGTAGGCTAAGGAAGTAAAAAAGAAAACTATAGAAAAATGGCAGATACATACATTTCATTTATTAAGTGTTTAAATACACTTTTTTTGGAAAGTCAAATTAAATGTAAGGTTTAAAGTAATGCCGTAAAAAGCCTGGAAGTTCAGTGTTGTGCAAAAATTTTACCTACAAAATTCAAAGGCAGATTGCAGCAGCCAAGCATATCAGCAGACCAGAATGTCTCATTTACAGAAATGCTATGCCAGGTACTAAAATCAGGAAGAATCCTTCTTCTACTTACATGGTAAAAAACAGCTAAGTCTCTGGTTTCTAACATTTGTCACTGATGCTAATGTAGGTGTTCTTTTTTGAGATGAAAGCAAAGATTCTGTGATAATGCACAATGCTCTCTGCCTGAGATTATGAAACTCTGAAGACAGCTAACTGTGAAAAGAGGTCAGAAAAATATGGCCATTTTTACCTGGCTGGTTGAGAATGAGGGACTTTGGTTGCTTTTCCACATTGAGAGTGGTTGGTACCTCTAGTTTTGGCTCTTCTTTCTGTAATCAAGTAGAGTCAACTGTATTAGATGGACTGTAACTTGTATGTAACTGCTTGAACTTTAAACTTGTGAGACTGCCCAGGGCCACAAGGTGGTCAAAAGTCATTGACAGTAAGAGAGAATTCTTTTTTTCCTTTTTAATTAGGCATAGGATTTTGTTTTACTTCACTAAGAAAACATTCTCTGAAAGTAACGAAGAAACAATTTCTTTTGTTTTCAGAAAACTCAGAATAGAAGTGAAAACATGACTCTTCCTAGTCAGATACAATTGTCTTGCTCTCAATCCTGCATACCTGGCAGGCTTAACACGGAGAGCTCAGCAACTAATTCACTGGCTGGTAGAAAGCAGGAGAAGATGCATCACAGCAGCAAACATTACAGCTCCAGCATCTGGGAAAGGGCTCTTACCACCTTGCTAGATAGTGAAGGAGATTCAGTCTGCAACAATGGTAAAAAGCTGTGTCTGTAGCAGTGGCACAACAGTAACTGTGACACCACAACAGTCGTTCTCAGTTCAAACTAAAATTTGGGTGTAGAGCATATCTAAGTATACCTAGTAACATGGAACTACTCTAGAGTTTAATTTTCACACATGGGTAATAAAACAAAAAACCCTGCAGCCACACACTGCTTCATACCTTTATTTCTGGTGTTTCACTCCTCCTCGTTCTCTTCATTATTTCTTCTATTCTCTAGAAATTAAAAGAAATTGGAGGATGAGAAGGCAAACAATATTTAAACACAAGAGACTGACAAAGGCAAGAAAAAGACAGAAAAGCTTTTCTCTATTATTATGATCTCATCACTGCTTGTCTTGAAAGAGGAAGAATAAATAAGAAAAATAAAGAAAACAAACAATAGAAAACACCTGGGAGCTGGTTTTCACGTATCAGATCTCAAAGAACATGACTTTCTTACCAGATGCAATTCAGAGACAAACATTTCAATGCTAGGTGTTTGCAAGTTATGAGTTCTGGTTGGCTCTGGAACAAGATGGTCCTTTAAAGCCAACAGCTATTATTTTCATCTAGTTGCTTTTCCAACTTCTTCCAAATAATTCCTTTAAAAATAGTTAGGCTTTTTGGAAGAGTAAGGCATTACCCTGAAATACCTTTTTTCCTTTGCTTATTTAAAAAAAGTAGTGCAAAGACATTTCAGATTTAAAGACACTTTGGTTTGATATTCTAATCTGCAACTGCAACATGCCCTCAGCTTAGGGGTAAACAGTTAGATACAATATACTGGAATTATATATGTGGAAAGACAACCTTCTCTAACCAGAGAGGGGTTCTGCAGCTCTACAGCAGCTCTCTCTTTCCTGCCACAGAGCTGTAGATAAAGCTAATTTATGCAGCTCCAGCCATTTCCTTGTGCAACAGTGGCCAGGCAGCTCTGCTGCCTCTGCATAATGCAACCAGAGACAGGCAACCTGGGAGAAAACCTGGCTGTTAATTACAGTAACTTGCTCAGTTCATGAAGCAGAGCTTTTGCTGAGTACCTCTTTCAACAAAGTCACTCATGCTCCCCAATAGTCTGTGATGTCCTGGGTTGGGAGGCAATCGAGGTTTGCCTTGGCATGCTGTTCCCTGTTTGTCTCAGGCATTTAACTTGGTGGGTAGAGGCTAATTCTGTGTTTGGTCAGTACCTAGCCGAGTCATTTGCCCATGGCAGTTGCACTTCGTTACAGACTTGGAAGTCCATGTTCCCCTAGCATGTGAATAACAAGTACTGTTAGGCACAAATATCTCTCTGTAATCCCTCCAGATTATTATTTCTAGATACTATTGGGTACTTCCTGGGTTACGTATTCACACAAGGAATGAAATAATTCTCCTGGGACACAAATATCTACCTTCTTCCGCTCCAGTCTTTCTTGCTCAATTTGCTGCATGATTTGTTCCCTTTCAAGGCGAAGTTGTTCAGCTGCCTCACGAGCTTTGATTTCTGCTTCTTCTCTCTAATCAAACAGTGCAAAATATGATAGAGACATTATTTCTTTCAGGCAGATACTATGAAGTATCTATTTAAATGTATTATTTAAATATACACATACTTTTAGATGTATATAAAGTTTCACATTTGTGTTTGAGATGGTACCTGTTTCTCAAGTTTGGCCTGGAGCTCTTTTTCTTGCTTTTCCTTTAGCATTTGTTCTTCCTCAGCTCTCCTCCTGGCTTCCTCTTCTGCCTTTTTCCTAGCTGCTTCTTCTTCACGTTTTCTTTCCTCCTCCTTCTTACGAGCCTTTTCCTCTAGACGAAGTCTTTCCTCTTCTGCCTTTCTTTTCTGTTCTTCTCTTTCAAGCCTGCAAAAAAACACAAGAGTAGGTTTAAAAGGCTTCGGTCTTGTTGCACATGAATCCCAATGTACGTATGCCTTGCAATCAGCAGTAACTGATAATATATGAAACATGCCATGATACAGTGAACATACACCATCTGGTTGAGCATACACCAGAACTCAGGCTGCTACCAAACTTCTATTCTAATCTTATTTTCACTGCCTAAAATGTTTTAGAGAAGTTATCATTTCCTTTGAAAAACAGGTGTGATCAAAGAAAAAGAAAACATTTTCATTCTGATTGCAATTAGAGTTTCAATAATAAGCTCCAACAATAAAAACATCCCTCTTCCCCTGTACTTCACACCCAGAACATTGGTCTGCAAGTGTTTTCTTTCCTTCGTTTTGGCTGAAGATAAACAGATTGGATGAGTAGCAGGAAACGAAGTCCACAAAACACAGTGATGCACTAGAAAGAGTGGGTCTAAATTCCACCTGTGTTTCTCCTTGGCCCAATCAGAGACATCATGCTTCTTTGTCACCACACGCAAGAGCTGCTTTGTTGGAGGCCTTGATGACGGCCAGCTCAAGCTATGCTGTCTTGTGGGACCTTGGGCAGCAGCAAAACTGAGGACCAAGTATCATTGTAGGCAGGAAAGAGGGACAGAAAAAGAAGCCGAGGAAAGCTGCTATGCAAGAGCAAAGGAACATGAAGCAGCAAGCTTGCCAAAAAAACAGCTAAGCAAAACTAACTGTGTGGGTTAAAACTAAGATGAAGGTGTGCTAGCCACTGGACTGCTATTGGGGCGTGGACAGGACAGGATTAACCAGTCACAGATGCGGCCATGCCGCGAGTTACTGTAAGGATCATATAAAGCAGACGCTGTGCAGAGAATAAAGGTCTTCACTTATAACTCCCCTAGAGTCACGAAGTCCGTGCCTGCCCTCCGTCACTGCTTTGACAAGCAATAATTCTTATTCTTGCATAGCAGGGATTCAGGAAATATTTCCACTGGGCCAAACTGGCAGGCAGTGCTGATGCCACCCCCTGCCATGTTTTTTATAGAAACAGACAAAGTTGAATGTAGACATGCAAGTGTTAGTTATTTACTGTTAGGGGCTTGAAGGAAGGGCATGACAACCAGCACCCCATGGGAAAAGAGCAAGAATTTCACTGCTTAGATATACAGAGCAACCATCATTATGCCAATACTCTTAAAGCCCTCAATTCCCTACAACAGAGTTGGGCAGGAAGATGAACTTCAAGTTCATTTGTTGAATGATACAAGCTTTGTCATTTAAGACATACTACTACTGCAAGACTGTTTCTTCTACGTGAACTAGCTCATTTAAAATTGCCACAAATATTTTTTTTTTAATAACATAAAATACTTCAGGTGTGTCCATACTGCAGCTTGCAGTACACTACTACACTACAGCATGCTCCCACTTTGATTCTAAAACTACCACAATTTCAGGCATCTTCAACAATACAGATTAAATTACTAGGTAATAACTTCCACAAATCAACAGAGATACCTCTCGCGTTCTTCTCTTTCCTGTCGCTCCCTTTCTTCTTGTTCTTTTTGCAGGCGGGCCTGTCGTCTTTTTTCAGCTAGAATTTTTGAAGCTTCTTCTGCATCAGTTGTTCCTGCCGTCATCTTTCCTAGGAGAAGACAAGCAAGGGTGGAAAGTTAGGTGTGGAACAAAGAGAGTGCCCAGCACTTCCATACTCTCACAGAGGTTGAAATGGGCCTGGTTCACACTGGTGTGACACCTTTGCTTTTTCAAAAGCATAGCCCCAGCATTTTCAGCAAGATAGAATATGGGATAGTAAGGGCACCCCTAGATTTCAGCATTTTCACATGCTCATTAACAAGCATTTTTCATAAGTGAGTAACCCTGGTGAAAACTATATATTTATTGGTTCCAGCATGTACCTTTACACATTCTCAGAAGCCTGTGACTGAGCAGCTTCATGAAAAGAATAGGTCATCACTGTTTAAAAGCTTCAGGGACCCACGATCCCTTACAATATATTCTTGCAGTCAGACTCACCTTCACTATTCTCAGTCTTTCCTGCAGAAGGCACGTGCTTCTCGGAAGCCACCTGGCTTGCCTCATCAGTGTGTGCTCCTGGGGATTTTTGATGACTGACATTTTCTTTCTCCTTGTCTGCTTTCTTTTTAGGAGTTTCCTGATTGAGATTAGAAGTGGCACGATGCTTCACAGGAGAAGCTGGATATTGCTTGGCATTTTTAGGAGACTGAGGATAAGTCTTTGCAACTGTCCTGATGAGGGAAAACAAAAACCAAAATGGGCCATATATGTTACACAGCTTGGAATCAAACCCCATCTTCACATATATTGCTTCCCTTTTTTTGTCTCTGGCTACACAGGAACATCTGTTTTGAACAATGCTGGATAGAAAGCTATTGGAGTCAAGCAATCGGAACCGAAATACAGGGAACAGGCATGCAAGGGCAAATGATTACAGAAAATTCTCATTTAAAAAGACCAATAATACTGTTGAAGTTGTAGGCAAGAGATATGAAGTCATGGACTATCTAAAACAATTATTTTAGTAAAAGCGATTTCATAACAACTTTGCCAACATTACTGTATTTAACAGTCCTCCTCAACATTTAAAGCAAAACTACAGTTCCTTTCTGTCTCCAGAAATTATGGTGAAGCTCAATGCGCCGCTTTCATCTGGATACTGCCTTGTCAAACGTGGCCTTTTTCTAATAGAGTTGAATAATCTGATTTTCCAAAATAGCACCAAATACTACGTTTTACACAGGTAAAGCTGGGTACCAGAAAAAGAGACAGAACTGACCAAACCACTGTACAGTCAGCTCCACCGTCCCAGTTAGTGTTCCAGTTAATCAGCACCAACACAACAGACTCAAGGCTCCAAACTCAGCCTCTGCTCTTGTGGTGGTGGCTCTGCACAGCAGCAACGCAGCTAATGGCTCATTTGGCTGTGGCATACTTTAGGTGAAATGATAATCTTGAAGCCAGTTCTGGGAAAGCAGAAGGGTATAAGGTACTTGACATTCAGTGAAAATAGGTGCACATTAAAAAGAACAGATTACTAGGAAGCATGAAACTACATATAAACACCATTCATTATTTACATAACAGCAGTAACTAGCACTAATTACCTGTAACATTAAGGAAGGCTGGGCTGTATGACTAAGCAGTATGGAAGGAAAGGGACTACAATCTTAAAAGAATGATTTCTGTGAGTACCATTAGAATAAATAATCCTACATTAAAGGGAACATAACACGTGTAATTTTAACCTTCCCTATGGATACGCAGTTATGATACAAATGTATTATCCTTTCTCACTTTATAAAATTTCATATACTGTAACATGTTTTCTGGATGATACACTCATTCTGGCAGACCACAAAAATGAAAAACATGGATAATGACTGAAAATTCAGACTGGAGTGGCAAGTTTTGTATAGATCTAACTATAGTATTGCATGGCAAGATGCTACTATGACTATTTGCATTACAGAGCAGACAAAAATTAAACTTTTTTCCGCTCCCCCCCCCCAGTTCATGAGTTCAGGAGAAGAAAGGGTTCTTTTCTACCATATTATGCTGCATTTGAAAGAGGTTGAGTCACCAGAATACAGGAAGTTCATCCAGAGCTGCTCAGTTTGTGGGAAGGAAAAGCCTGCAGAGTATTGCACCACCCATTTTTCCTTACACCCACTGAAGAGCCATCATAGGCTCCAAAAACCCTTGAGCTGGTGGAACAGTAGCACTCCACTAAATGTGAAGTTCAGTTCAGGTATCCTCTGCCCACAGGCCCAGGAACTCCCTGTCAGCTCAGGTCCTTGTCCTCGGTTCATGCCCAAGCTAAGCCGCAGGGAAGTTTGTTCCTGCTGACCCTGAGCTGATGGCCTGGCTTGTCCTTGAACCTGCCTCAGTAAGGCCTTGGCTGACCCTGGTCACCTTCACCAGACTAGCCATGGCCACTCCTTTTGTCTACTGTGGAAATGGGTCTTGTGGGTGAGGTCCCTGTCCTTGCCTGCCCTGCTGCCACCCACGGCTCCTGGCTCGCCCTGCCTTGCAGGGCATTCTGCTCCTGCCGCTCCCTGGCAGAAACAGGCTTTGACAGATGTGGACAGGCAAGTCTCTTTCCAGATCTTTTGAAAAACAGCAATGGAAGAAGCCAATGAGATTGGTTGGTGTTGACCCAATTTGGTTTTAACACTGTCTTTAGTTTTCTCTTTAAGACATAGATGGAATCCCAGGCCCTCCTAAACACAAAGGCCTCACCAACATACGTCTCATATGTGCCTCACCACCACAGTTATTTCCAACTGCATTTCATAAAAATATAACGTGTAAATAAGAAGCAAACACTTTTTTTTTTCTGCAGCACAGAGGATGTTTCTTGCTAATGAGACACGTTTTCAAAGCTGTTTGGTTTACGCTTCCAACTTTACCACACGTTCCTTGCAATGCTTTTTATGTTGTGACAGGAGGAGCAAAACAGTCACATAACTAAGCCTGAATCATTTTCAGTATTAGCACAGAAATAATTGTTCTCTAATAGAGATGTGACAATCAAATGAAAGAGGCTGGTAGGAAGGAGTCTAGTCATGAGAGCTATGTATATTGCATTGCATAAGAATTAGAGCAGACTGGCTGTACAACTTACCTGTTGGACTAGAAACACGTGCTGAATGTTTTAAGTAATGCATCTTTGAACTTTTAGACCTATGGAAATTTTTTTCTTACAGCTCTTTGGCCAGAATTAAAAGAAACAAGCATGGCTTTTCTTGTTTTAAAGCAATTGAAAGGGAGGAAGGTATAGAAGATGAATTACTGCAAGGATGACAACAGTACAGTGCGAGAAGTGAAAAGCTGAGAAAGCCCCTCAGGAGAAAGAATCTTTTTTTCAGAAATTTAAAATAATTTATGCAATGCCAGTAGAAAGTATTACAAGGGGGAAGACTGTTCATTTAAAATATATTGTCAACTTAGTATATTTAACATTCCTAGACACAAGCAGAATTTTTACTAGAGAAAAACATTCCTCCTAATACTATTTAAATGATGCTTCTTTTCACCAGGAAGTGCCAAGCTTTATTGTGAGGACAGAAATATGGGATTATTAAAGGGGAAGTGTATAAACACATGCACAGAGGTCTGCTTCGGTTAGAAAATGCTTTATTTCTGCCATGTGAGAAAAGGAAAGGGATGCAATGAAACACTGGTAAAAATGTGGGAACACAAGTGTGCCTGATGAGGATTAGGAAATTAAGACAACAAATTGCCAAAATCCAAGAAGTGGTAGTATGTTAGTTGGTTGCAAGTCCACTCATCTCAGTCATATTTTACAAGGGAAAACAGAAGTACAGGAAGCATCTTCCTCCCTCCAGAAGCTTATAGTTTTCTCACCTAACTGCTCTGTGTTGACACCAGGGCAGCAGCTTGTAAGCACCCATTCTCACCGTGACTCTTACATGCACTGCAAGAACCTCTATCAGGTCTGGGGACTCACTGGTCCCTCAATTACAATGGCTCTTATTTAATTACAGGAGAGAGAGCCCACACTGCAGAAGAATGCCTCAGAGCACAAGAGGGATTCTGAGCTTACTTTTGCAAAGCAGAGAAAATAAAGTACATGTAGCACATAAATCAGAGGTGACATCCAATTTTGTCCATAAACAACAAAGGAGACAACAGCATGCTTCCTTCAAAACCCAAGTAGGTACACAACATGTCATTGGTTACAGCAGTTCAGAAGCCTGACTATAAACCAGAAATCTGCAGCCATGCCAGAGCTGCATTATTTTTTCCCTGTATCTCTATAAATTCAACAAAAGCTCTGCTGAAACCAAGGACCTGCATGTCCTCAAGCCTGCTTTCTGAGATTGCTCTGATCACAAGCTGTTCCTGGACCCTTGACATTTTTGCTCTGCTATCCATGGTATTTTCTCAAACACTTTCATTCTCATTTTGGTCTTTTCTAGCAAGAGACATTAATTTCTCTTTTACAGTTCTTAAAAGAGCACAAAATCAGCACAGATCTACAGAACAGTTATTTTGATAGACATACTATTACAAATGTTTTCAAAATCTTGAATTGGCCCACTCACTAGCTAGCTGCTTAAGAAAAACCAACTCAAAATAGCCTTGATCCAACATTCTACTGCTTTTATCTTTCCAAGGCAGAACAAAGATCAAGAGTAGTAAATGTAGCACATAACAAATAAAATCTGAAACTAGGTCACTGCAGGGCACAGAAACTACTTCTGTGAGGAATTCACCACATGCATCCACCTTTCAAATAGGCAAATAAAAAAAAAAATCAAAGTCTGGACTTTTTTTACTACCATAGTATTTCATTTGTAATATGTAATTTGATTGAGCGTGAACATTTATGACATCAAGGTGTGCCCCAATGGCTGCAGTGGAATGTTGCCCAAAAGAATCATGAAGTTACACATTCAGTTAGTGGACCTGTGAGAAGAGAACAGGGACACAGACTGGGAACTGGAAATAAACCAAGGACCATCACCCAGCAGCAGTGCTGCAGTCCCTCCTCCCTTCCTCTTTTCTCCTTCTCATATGAGGTAATGCTTTGGCAAAATAGTTAACACAGAGTCTTGTCAGACCCTTCCACTTTTATTCACTAGCTTATATGAAGACATTGAAAACTAAATCCTACTTCCTTAATTTGGTCAGGTCCCATTGATTTCAAAGGGACTATTTACCTAAAGACACATGAAGGACACAGGCTTTATTGCTTTGCTGATCTATAAGATAGGACACTTACCTATTCTCTGAGGGATATTGCAAGAATAAACTGATTAATGTATAGATCTCTGAAGATGAAGCATTAAAATCTAACCAATAATATGGTATTATTGATCTTGCCATAGGTCTGAAGAACAGGAGCACTCTACACAATCCAATAGCATTTTGTAATATCTATTAGCAATTATAAAAATTGCTATCCAATAGCAACTGTAAAAATAAAAGATAATTTCTCAATTAGCCCAGCACACTAATCCATTAGCTTTCATCTTTGTCAGCTGATCCTCACTGGATTCAAAGCAATAGATTTGGGTTGGTTGTGTGATGTTTCCTTTGGCTCAACATTTTTTTGTTGTTTTATTTTAGGTTCATGTTTGTTCGCTCAGTTGGTCTTGGACATTATATTTCAGGCTAATCTTTTTTCGCTTTCTCAATAAAATTTGCACCTTCAATCCCTGTCTTTTATTTATGTCATCACTGCAAATCTGTTCTGCTATCAATCACTGTCTCTATTTAGGTTGAAGTTCTATTGTCTTATATGAGCCTGTTTCACCTACTTTACCATGATAAAAACAGTTTTTAAATTAATAAATAATGCAATAGCATATAAAGAAGACAAGCAACTACCACTCACAAACCAAGACGATGACTGTGAAGAACTAATAACTAGAACAATACCACAGAAAACTTGAATGTCAGGTCACATACTTAAGAAAAATGCATACAGCAGCTGATGTAGAAATGAAATGAAAACATTTTACTACAAAATGAAAATATTTGAAGTGATGTAATGAAAACATTTTACTATAAAAACCTTCTTGTAATTTGTGTCTCTGGGAAAAATGTCTCCATCTTTGCCTAAACTTTTATGGAAATCAGTGCTACAAATTAAGACTGGGCATATTCTTTTCTTGAAGAACTTTGCTTCACAAAAGCTTTTTTCTTCTTTCCCCTCCCCCCCCAACGGACATCTCCATGACAAACTATACCAACCTTTTCAATGTCTGCCCATCAAGAAGTACTTCACTCAGGAACCCATTTCCCACCAATCATTTTTCTTAACTAAATATCTCTCTAGGTATGTCTTTTATAGTGGCTGACTGAGGTAAAAGATGCATTCAGAACAGGGTATATCAGCAATTTACAGAATACTACATGTTTCTATAGCTCCAACTTCTCTCTGTACATTTTGGAGTGCCCTAGACAATCATCTGCTCAAAACTGTAACCAAAAAAAATGATTGCCATTAACATTTAATGTAATTCCCTTCTTCACAAAATTTACATAGTTCAGAATCTGACAACATTATATATAAAATACTGAAAGTTTGAGAATTTTTTGCCCTATAATATGAACCAAGAATTTCAAGAATTGCAATTTCCCAGTCGAATGCAAGGGGATGTTTCAAACTGAAGGAACGCCCAGAGTCAGATGGTTTCTTGTATTTGTATAACACCGGATTCACACACAAAATCATTCTCTGTTAAAGGGCCACCCACTCAGAGCTGAAACAGAGAAAGAACAGCAGCATTTTTGAAGTAAAAGGAATTTTTCCAAAAGGGGATCATCAAGACTGGTTTAGAATATGGCCAGGTTCAGATGGAATAAAAAAGAAAAAAAGATCATACAAAAGGAGATAATTTTTTGAGACAGAAGTGGAACCCATGAATAGGGTTGGGGTGGGCGGGGGAGAAACCACACACACACAAAAAATAATCAGATAACTACTGAAGACCATGACTACTTTAGCATACTTATACATTTCAGGTAGACTTAATATCCAGTTCTAAGAAAGCTGAAGACTCATTTGAGTGAGTACCAGAGACAACTAAGAAAAGCAACTCAATTGCTAGTAAGCCCAGATGTGCTATAGGTCCACAACTCTGCATGGGCAAAAAAACCAAACCACACCACAATAACAAAAAGCAACAAACTCGCAGAGGTCTGCAAATAAGCAAATAATAAACCTGATGGTTTAGATGATGCACAGTTAAGTATATTTACAAAACCAGATTGTCATGCCAACAATAGGAAATGCATATTTTAAATGCTGGAACTTCTAGTTAGTATTCATCTTCTGTACGTTTCTTCAAATTAGGCAGAGTTTCTTCAAAACCAAACATAAAAAAAGGGTGTTTAAAAATAAATGTTAAATAAAATTTCACATGAATTATGAAATGCACTGTGATAGTTTCAAAAGACTGAGAAAATACCAGAGAAGTGTCTCTAGTGAGCACTAACACCATCTTAACATGTGTTTATCTACAGCTCTCTCTTCCTCTATATTGTCTGTATGTGTAAGTAAAATTAGATTTTATACAACACTTCCAAGGAAGTTCAAGAATCTATGTCCCCTTTAAAAGTAATGAGAAGCTCACAGCATATGATACCACGAATAAAAAAGCATACTTAGGTGTTGCAGGTGATGCAGATCTTCTAGACACTGCAGCAGGAGAATCAGACCTCCTCAGAGGAGAGCCCATACCAGATGAACCAGGTGTTGCAGGTCGCTTCTCTTTCTTTATCTTCTCAGTCTAGAAGCACAGTTCATTTTAGTTTCCGTAATTAGGACCAACGCATCAAAAATACATTTTATTGTTTTATTAACAAGATGGCACAAACAGATTTGTGTAACATACATTTAAGATGAAAGTTTTTTAAACACCAGCTCACAACTGAGGTGCAATAGGTTATTTTACAGAGACATAATTACACCTTCCCCATGTCTTGCACAGACATAGTATACAAGTTGCAGATAAGTAACACCACCGTCAGATACTCTCTAAGGGTTCTTGGGAGAGATGGCGTTTTCAAAATCATCTCTGTTCCTACAACACCTCCTAGACACAATCAGTAGTGCACCCAGACATTTCACAGAAACACTGCTGGATGTAACACTGGGAATCACTCCCAAAAGAGACACTACACAAATGTTTAGCTCCCAGCTTTGTTCTCACTTGCATCTAAGACAGATGGAATGAATCCTCTCCTATTAGCTATTACAAGACACAGGACCTTATGTGAATTTTACAGCCCTAACAGATTTTTTAAAATATGCCTCACACTGTGTAGACTCACTGAAGGTGAATGACTTGCCTTTGCTTTTCTGGAAACTACGCTGGATCAATAATGCATCTTTTAAGCAAACAGCGGTAAAAATGTCTACAGAAGGAGTGAAGCAATTGGTATAAAAGAGGCATTGTCAATATACTTGGCAAGCTTACAAAATATAAGAAGCTTGCTAATTAACCAGTAAGACTGGATAGTCATACTCAGTAGAGGGATCCTATTTGTCATCCCCATTCCCAGAAGTTACAGGCAAGTCCAGAAACACACACTTCATTGTCAGAAATCTCAGTTCCCAGAACATAAAGGTGTTGCTGTTTCAAATACAAGCACTTGTCAACATTGATTCCCAGGAGGAGGAAGATATTACAGTGCTGCTAAACAGGAGCAGAAAAGCAGCAGATGCATGCAAGGCTTATTTTCTTACTGCTGTTTTTCACAACAGGGGTAGCACTTTGTTTTTATGAATGCAAAGGGGAAGGGAACTCAGAGTTGAACTGAAAACCATTGCAAACCTACCTGAGTTACTTCAGCAGCAGCTGCCCCTTTCATGGCATCGGAAGTGGAGGGTGAAGTCACCTTCTTCCTGTCGGTGCTTCGGGTGGGGGAAGGCTTGTAGGGAGATCTAAGAGGACTAGCTGGTGCTACACGAGGACAGATATGGAATACTAAAGAGTTATAGTACAATAGCAAGAGCAAAAGGGAGCACAAGACAGAGGAAGTAAAGGAGAGGAGAAAACAGCATACTTATGTTAAAATGTTGAAAGGCAGGTTTCAAGGTTTTTTTAAAAGTGTTTCAAAAGATCCCATTATACAACACATTCAACACAGTCCCATGTTTACTAAAAATGCCTCAACTGAAAATAGGATTTTTATAGGTTTCTAATTTTTTTAATTATCTCTAAAATATCACTCTTACTCATGTACCTGTTGAATCACCTGACTATGACTGTGATTCCTTTATCTCCTGAAAACTCCAGCTTCCTTTGCATATGATAAAAAAGAGTAAACAAACAATTCTAGTTGGGTGACTCTTGAACAAATACTGCCAAACAGGAAAGGTGATAGAAGCTTAAGGAATGATTCTTTTAGAAGCTTAAATATGGCAAAGGCTCCTAAATACCTTAATTGCTTTCCAAAATAGTATTTAATTCAAAAAAACCAAACCACAACTCCAAACCTGAAGTAAATACTGTGGTAGGTATTTCAGTTATTGTTATTAGTGGCAGGCATCAGCTTGAGTGCGACACAGGCTGACATATGACACAGAGGGCAACTTCCTGGGTATTTTTTACTTGCACTATGAACAGGAATTTGAAAAAATAGAACATTTGACTCCTTTTTTTTTTTCATATTACCTTCTAATACGAAACTTTGACATATGTATAGAACAATCAACAGAGTATACACTCTATTAATAAGACAGACACTAATTATAACCATGTGGGAGTGCATTTCCAATCTCACTCAACTGAAGTGAAGAAGGATATTGACTTTGGAAAAGCAGTAAGTTTGCTCAGATGTAGCAGAATTCACATTTCCAATTTTTTTTTTTTTTTTTTTTTTTAATTTGGAGCAGTCCTATAAAGTTTCTTATGAAGCCGTTTTGTATGCTTTTAAGTTTAACTAGACCTGTGTATTCTTTGACTTTTCCAGAAAAGTTGGCAAAAGTTCACTGAATATTAAGAAAAATGTTCAGAAACTTAAATGCTGCTTAAGGTATTTTCACTTCAACTGTAGGAAAAAAAAAAACAAACAAAACATTATGTGTTTAATAACAGCTATTTGCCTGAATGTCGTGACTCAGAGTAACATTAATAATGCAATGCCCTAGAAAAAGGGTCTTACACTGGTGATTTTAATTTCTAAACTTACAGAAAATGCAGGAAGAGAGCAAGGCTGGCCCAAACATAATGACATAATGGCAGTGTATAAGCTCTTGAAAAGGAAGAATCCTCTTCCTTGTTCAAGAAGCTACTTCTATGGGGTGAAGTACATGACAAATGGGAGATCTCCCTCAACCCTTTTGCTGACAATTACTGACAAAACTGTCAATGGCCACTCTGAGTACTGATGCTGTATGCAACCTGTGCTACAGCCCGATTGCCTTGCCAGGAAACAACAAAAGGATGCTGGTTCAGAGAACCGCTCCCAGAACCAGAACTCCTGCTTCAGCTCAGGGAAAAAGCAGTCTGCAGGCCAAATTGTATCCTTGTCAGACATGCCAGTGTGCTACTTTCAAAGTCCTGAGAGGAAGAAAGAGAGAAAGCTGGTAGTTTGCAAACAAAATGAGTAGGAAAGGACAAAGGAAGTACCTGCTGATTTCCTCACTATCAAATACAACATGGAAAACAACATCTGTAGGTAGCCCCGGCAATTCACCTCAACATTTTAAGCAGAATATACTGATCTGATTCTGAGTTGGATTTTGTTCAGTTTCAGTAGCAGGTGATCCCTGAGCAGTAAGTAAACTGAGAATTTTCTCACGGCAAAAGCACTATATGACAACATTTCTCCTTCCAGCAGATGCTGCTTTTAATGTAGAAATAAGCAAAGTAATTTTAGAGCCATTCAATATCAATGTCCCTATGCACTTCAACAAAGAAGTAACACACAAAGTAAGCTTACTTTGCAATTCATGTTTAAATAGCTTTGTATTAAAAGCACAGATGGAAGACCTCAGCCTATTTCAGCCACAACGTATGAAAATACTCATCACAAAGATGATAAGCCATTTATTGCCTAAGGAGCTTTATCCTGAAAAAATGTTTCCTTTTGCAGACAGGCATTTGGGGTGGTGTTTTTGTTTTGGTTGTTTTTTTTTTTTTTAATAAAAGTAAAAACAGCTATTAAACTTTTGTCCTTGTTTCATCAAGCACTATGACCAGGTATAGGTTTCTAAGTAGAGAACTCACGTTCAGTAATTTCTACAACTGATACCTTACTATCGGTATCTTTTTTCCCCCCTAAGTATAATTTTATATGTGTATACACACTCACGTATATATCTAAATGCAAATCCAGTCACATAGTTAAAGGCAAAAAGTAATTTAACAACAAAGAATTTGAACCCTGGTTAGAATAATTAAAGCTCAAATGGTGCACTGGGATTTTTGTTCTACATAATATTTAAGTAGGAAAGGGGATGATGTTAATATATTAAAGCATCTGAGAGGTGTCACACACTGGTGTAAAAAAAAAAAAAAAAAAAAGAAAAACCAAACCCACCAGTTTCTTGAATATATTCAGTTTTCCATTAGCTTATGTTTTAGTAATCTTGTTAATTCCATTCTTGTTTTTTTTTTTTTTTTTTAAATCTATTTTCTTTTTAAAAGGACATTAAGAACAAGAGAGACAAGATGATTTCTTTTTTCAAGCTTTTAAGTACACCACTATCATGAACAACTTTGTTCATCGTTGACTTTTGTACCATCATGTAAATTGTCATTTGATTCATAGTATTCCATTTCTTTCAGCAAATATTCAAGTGCAACCAAAAATATACCTTAACAGTTTCAAAGTGAGCAAGTCACATTTTTACCTGGATTATTGTACTGCTCAGAAAGCATTAATGTACTTCTGCTTCTAGCTAGAGATGACTGTGTGGGAGTCAGCAGTCGAGAAACAATAAAGTTTTCCATTGGACTAAGATGCATGCGGTGAGCTGAAGGATGGGAGCAAATAAAATAAAATTTAAAATGCAAAGAAATAAAACAATGTTACATTAAAATAACTGAAACAAAATGACGAAATGATGAAATGAAGTAAAACAACTTGAAGCGTTTAAGATTTAAAATATTTAAAGTGAATTTTCATTTCCTCTGCAAAAAAAGCTTTCTAGTTTCTCCATCGTTTTAAACTGTTTTCACACCTGTACAATAAATACAGTAAGGTCAAGACCATGTTGCATTTTATTCTTAGAGGCATGTTCTAGTCTGCAAAATGGTTGCTTTCATGACTCAGCATGAAAAGGGTTTGCCTTCTTCCCCAATAGAAAAAGTGAAACATTTATCATAACAGTACAACTACTCACTAATGTGTGAACCATACTGAGACTGCATTTAAACTTTGCAGTCTCATTGCATTATGTAAGTCTTATTTATGCAATATGCCTCCATTCATTCCTACTCCAAAAATATACAAGTAAACCACCCCAGACAGATATTTATAGATGTTCCTGTTACATGCGTGTATAGCCATCTATCATAACCTCAAAGCTATTGAAAAGTTTTCATTAAAATATCAGAAATGAAAGTAAATTTACTTTCTCTTTTTGTTCTAGAAACAAGCCTTCATCATCACTTATTTCAGTCAAAAAATTATTTTCTCATTAGAATTTAAAAAAAATGTGGAGAAGAAAAAAAGGACACACAAAACAAACAAAATCCAAAGAGTTCATAGTGGGATAAACCCTTCAGTCCTCTCTGTAGTGTTTAGTAACCACTAATCCCACAAGACGATCATCTTTTGCTGAGCCTCTCATGGATCAGAGTTTCAAATTAAATTAAAGGGCTCTACAACTTCAGTCACCAGATTGAAGTCTCCCAAGTGGCTCACTGGACATACTTCTGCCCATGGTACATCCCATCTTATCGTCAAGCCACATGTTTGGTTTGCTTGTCTGACATGATTTGGCTAAAGGATCACAAGCCACAGTTTTAAGAAACTGTGCAGTCGCAGCACATACTTAGAACCCTTTTTGCTGAAGTATCAAAAATTGAAAAAGGATCAGTAAAAAACCCCATGGTGTTTGTCACTGGACTACAGGATCTCCAGCACAGCAGCACAGTCTTGGGACAGGCTGCAGAACTATTTTATTGTGTTAACTTACAACCCCTCAAAACGTTTGAGATCTTTTGAGTAACAGACGTAAGTGAGTTAGGTAGCTACAGAGAGAAGAAGTAGTGCTTTAAGCAGGAGAGTTTACACTGGTAGGGGACCAGCACGTTCACTTGCCTCTGTCGGGGGAATGTGTTATAGCCGCTGTGGAGGAGGAGAGGCGCTTACTGATGGGCGACTCCATTTGCTTTGGCAGATTCATTGTAGAGGCTGAAAGTTTGTCACATGCTGCAGAGAGACGCATTGAAGATATCTGTATTCACATCACAGGTTTGATAAACTCCCAAAATTAACCTCACATTTGTACTCGTGGCCCCTGCCACTGATCATAGCTCTGAATAAGGCATGATGAGATAAGCTCTTTCTGACTGCTAGAGGACCAGCATTTTATCAGGCATGCTTTAGGATGTGACTTTTCTGCTTGTGAACTTAACACTCCAGTTTTACAACAGCCTATCTTTTATACTGCCAGAGGCAAATAATTATCTATATATCAGGTCTGAACGAGTGAAGCCATTCTGATAAAAGATATTCCATACCAGCACAAGCAGAAAGATACCTAAAAAAACAAACTGCACACATGACAACTCTCAATACCTCATCTCCATTCTCCCTCCCCTCTACTTTCAGTCTAGAAGAGCTGGGATAGACCTTGGATACTACTCTAACACAAAAATGAGATAACCAACCATGGTTCTCATAATGAGAACTCACTGGTTCAGTGACTACGCTGGCACCAGCCATTTGGCTTTACCTTCTCATGCTTGAGGATACTTTTAAGCTAAATAAATAAATAAGCAAGCAAGCTTTTTGGTACTACTCCAAGTGCTTTCATTTTTCTTCTGAAATACTGTTTGACAAAGTCTGAGCACAGTACCTGCTTCCTGCTTTGCCATTTGTTTGACTGAATGACACAAAAACATTATTCAAGTACTACTACAGCATACTAGTATATGATAAATGCTGTACAGTGCTCAGAAGCTAAAAGCATAGATGCTTTGCCCCTTAAATTTGAGTTTTCTTTTAAAAGAAATTTTTTTCAGCTACAGACATACATATGGCCCTAATTCTGCAGTCCCTAAGTTACTGCATTCCTTATGACATCCACTGAAACATTGCCTTGGTGGGGTCTGCAAGATTTGCCTCCATCTACTAGAGCAAGCAATATAATTTTTTACATTTGCTTTTTTAAAAAAGCTGGTATAATGCTGGTATGCTGCAAAACATCAGTTGCACATCCAAGTCTCTTTGTACATGAGCAAGGATTAGTACAAAACTTTGAATCTTTGCACAGAAATAATAATTCTGTGAGATCATGGGCAGAACAACATTTACTGTGCATTCTGCATGAGTAATATCCAAGCCTAGCTCCTCCTTTGGAGGGGAAGAAGGAACCTAGTTCTTAAAAGCACAGGCTGTGCTACATCTTCAAAATGCCAAGTAGTTTGCAATCAAAACTAGAAATCCTGTATGCAATCCGTTCTTAATTTTGGAGGACTCATTTACTGTGCAGTCCATTTACGGGAATAATAATTTTTTAAAAAGATAACTGAACAATTATAAAAGAAAACAATACACAATTGCATATAAGTCAACTACTTCAGCTTGTCAAGATACACCAGCTTGGCCCAAATCCACTTCAAGAGGCTGAAAACATACTATGGCTGCTCATACCAAATTTGCTTGCTAAAATACTGCAGAAAAGGCCCTTGAGATGGAAAAAAAGAGGACTATTTTGATGAAACTGTCTCTATAATGAATCTTCTCTTTCTGTGCAACTGAAATTTTTTTCAACACCACCTGCATCTGTGCACCTCCATTAGAGCTGCCAAATATATGTGCAATTATATTTACACACACACAAACACTGAGCACCAGTAGAATTAACAGAGAGGAGAATCTGAGCAGTAGAAGTCTAGTTAGTGAGGAAACCATGAAATGCCTCTACTGTGCTGGAATGTGAGGCATGCACTGCTCCACCATGGCAAAATTAAAAGGAAATCAAAAAGACATTTGGTCCACATCGCTAAGGGTAATGCTGTAGAGTACCAGACTGAAATAATAAGAGTGGTTAGGAAGGACAAGATCAGTGGATGGATTACAGTGATTAGAACATTTATAAACAAGACACAATGGGACTGTGGTTCTCTGAAATACCATTGAAGGAATCAGCAGGAGCAGTAGAGGTCACAGGGTCTGGAAGAAGGGTGTTGGCAGCTAAACCTAGAACAGGGGGTGGGGTATTTTCTGATTCACCTACACAGCAGAGAAATCAGAGCAAAAAGACGTGAAAGAAATTACTGAACAAATTGAGGGAGCTCGAATTAAGCACAAACTGTATCAAAGAAAATATTTTCTTTCTCGAAGCACAAAAGATTTCTTTTATTATAACATACATTTAAATTCCTGGCTTTTTTAATGGTATACTGTGAAAATTACAATGTGAGACAGTTTTCCTTCTTAGAGTTAAATATATTTATACATTGCTAAAAGAGAATAACTGTCGTATTTCATTATCATCCAAACATGGGTGTTTTTCCCCATAACATCAGTTTATTCAAACCTGATCAAATTTAAATAAATTACAGCATTTAAAAGAGAAAACATGCACCTTTTGAAATATAAAAGCAGTACATGACTGATTATGTAATAAAAAGAATTTGTTCCAAAGCCAAATCAAAAAGAGCAGCAACAAAAAGTGTGGGGGGGGGAAAAAAACAAACTATTTGAAACTGCACATGCTGCATAGTCATCTAGAAATTCCCTTCAGGTTTTAGAAGTACCAAACAAAACCAGATCATGTTCTGCCAGGGTTAGACAGCACTCAGTCCTTTGGTGAGTATTAAATTTGCTAACTCTGTGTGTGGGAAGACAATGCGGGGGTAGAGAATATAGGAGAGAGAGCATCAATTTTAGCGCTTTGCATCCTCCAAACAGATTCCAGTTACTCTATTAATATGATCTGCATTCCTAAAGTTAGGAGTGACCTTTCTCCCCAGAAGGTACTAGAGAGAAGAAGCCTGGCAAGCACTTACAAAGCATTTATTCATGCCCCAAGGCGTTAGCCCCTCCAATACCCCCCTAACTACAAAATGCATCATCCTTTCTATCTCCACAACCTCGTGCATTTTGCACTTGGAGATCTGCAATGCAGGCAGCCTCTTTCACTTACCATCTCTCCCTGTCGAGCCTGCAGCCAGTGCTCCTCCCCACGACCACCGCTTCTGCTTCTGCTCCAGCTGCTGGCTGCGTTCAAGGGACCGACGCATCATGGCTTCTAAACGCTCCTGGTTATAGTGGCACAAAACCAGAAACCAAATCTGAATCACTTCTTTGGTTTGTTTTGGTGGGTTTTTTTCCTTCTGCTGAAACCATTCTAAAAATACACACTTCCCCTGTTGCTCCACGCCAGATGATAAGAGAAGCTTGTTCGCAATAAAAAAAAAAAGCCTGAATAAAGAAGGTACCAGCATGCTACCTACCTCCAGATAGATGTGTCCTTTGTCTGCAAGCCACTGAGGTCACTACAGAGGCCTAAGTAAATAACACAGGTTGCATCACTGCATAGCATCTGCTCCTGCTGGTGAGGCTGCTGCTGTGCTCTGGACTTAATTTGTATAAGAATAATGCTCGACAAGCATTAACTCCTTCTTGTCTATGCAGACCTCAGGATTTTTTTCCACCCCTTTCTGAGCACAGCTGAATTGCTGCAATGCCAGTGGCTCCTCCTAGCCACGCAGATAAATGATCACTTCAAACGTAAAGTAGGTTACTTTGCAGGATGCCACTTTTATTTATTTATTTTTACAAAAATTCCCTCCTTTCTTCCACGATGTTCTTTACTATTTAGGCATTTAAGAGCTCCCGATTCCCCACCACACTCCTCTCCCCGTGTATTTTTTCAGTGCATGCCCTGATAATGCTGTTCTGAGATTTATGTGTTTTTTTTTTTTCCCCCTCCCACCTTCTTCCCCATGGCTTGATGAGTTCAGATTTTCAGATGGGGAAGATCAAGGAGATTTCTTTCTCTCCCTAAATCCTGCTCTAATTTACAGCTATGTATGGTCACCACGACCCTCCTAACTCTCACTCAAAGACGTCCACTCAGTTTTGTTCCTACCTCCTGTCTCTGTTAGTTTCTCAGTGGTTTGTTGTTGTGGCAATGATCTCTGCAACTTTTCTTTTTCCTCCTTTCAGATAAATCTGGTTCTTCTCCACTCATTGTTCCATCACCCACCACCCTCTTCCCTTCCTCCTCCACGTACTTCATTTGCATCTGGCAACCTCTTCACCCTCACATTTCAGCAGCCCAACCTCTACTGTCAAAGATGAGTCTACTGCTGCCTCCAACTACTGCCAATGGTTTTTAACAATTTGATTCTATTACTACTTTTGGACCTATTACTACCTTTGCTATCTTCTTCTAGTCTAGTATAGACTAGCATAAACTCCCACTCAATCTACTTCAAATTCTTGATCCTGCAGGCTTCTGTGATGACATCATAACCCCTTCAATTTCTATCAGTCCCCTGCTCTGTCTCCAATATCTTTGGTAGCTCATTTCTACTGTGTTGAAAACCTCCCCTGGACCTCTTGGCCAGATTACTTTGTCACTGATTTATGACTTTGGTCGAGGTTTCCTATTCCCCTTTCCTGAGACATTTTGCCATAAAATTTCAGTCTTTGTTCAAGCATGTCTCCTTTTGTCTCTGCACTGACATTGCCTCTGATGGTGCTCCTTCAGTAGATCAGGCCCTAACATCAGGCACCTCCAGTAACTACTGTATCTGGAACTTTTATGCATGTACCTGTAAACTTTGTGTTACCGTCCTGGGGCTCTGTCTATGGTCACTGGCTTTCTACAATGCCAGATGCCTTCTCATCATCTTGTACTTATCTGCAATATACTGGTGTCTCTTCCACATCTTTGAAGAATCTTCTACTGCTGTAGCATCTGGAAATTTCCTTCTGATCTCATTTTTTCCACCTCATCCAACATAAATCCAAACGCTAGCAATTATCCATCAATTTCAACAGCAAGCCACTTTCGTCTTTAAGTCTCTTAATTTTACTACAAATCACTTCTACTATAAAGAATTCCATTATCCTACCCTCTATACAAAGACTGAAGAAATTCAGTTCTCACATAACCTTTCCATCATTCTTAGCTCTCCTGTCCCTGTTACCTTTCAGCCAGGTGACCAACCCTGCTGTTACAATTTCTACTGCCAAGTCCAGGAAGATGAACCTTTGATCATGATCATTCCTGTTTTGGCTCCTTTGTATGCCTTTAGCTCATGGTCTGTTGGGTAACATCATATAAAGACCACTGAAAGCTGGCAGCTGCTTCCCCACCCTTCCTCCCCCTTTTTCTTCTCCCTTCTGTCTAAGTCAGCGCCATCAATGCCCAGGCAGGCATGCTAATGTGCACCCTGCCTCTTTCCTCCTCCTTTTTCTCCCTACAGACCAAATGCACGAGGCATCACAAAGCACAGGCACAGCCTCTTCTGCAGCAGCACAGAGAAAGAACAGTGTTGAATACCCCATCACTTATCTGTATGTCGGGTGTGAAAAGAAAGCAATCTTCCTGTCTCTGGAATCCAAAGTCACTCTCCTTTAGTTTGCCACAGTCTGTCTTCCTTCTCTTACTTCTTGATGACACAATTTTCACATTTAAGACCTGTCTGTGCTGGCTTTGCATTTCAAGTTCACACTTTTTGCTTTTAACTTCCCACCTCCTAGCAATAATTTAATTCTGTTTGAGGCCCTTGTCTCTACTTTCTCTTTCCAAAACTCATCTCCTATTCCATCACCAGTTGTTCTCTACAGTCTGCTTCTCTTCATTACTTTCTTTACTACGCATATTGCCCCAATATAGCTTTCTACCTACGCTCCTTACAAAGGAAAATGAACCTTCCCTTTTCTTTCTCATTAAAGCATATATTTACACAGAATCCTTCGTTCCATATCTAATTAATATTGTTATACATTAATAAAAAAAAAGATAAGATGAAAGCAGTCAAGTTTCAATTACCCAGGTGATTTATGTTTGAGGTTTTTCTTAATGCTGCTTGGAGCAAGGACGAGCAATATTCTGTAGTTTGCAAATCAAGGAATACACTTATGCCACCTACTATGAAAGTGCTGCTTTTAAGAATAAAATCCATGATGAAATAGATTAGAGAAATTAAATGATCTTTCATACATATCTAAAAGCCCATGCTACCTACAGTCTGAGGTTGCAATCTTCAATTATGTGACATGTCGAGGATCATCCATTTTCATTTGCAAAGAGCCTTTCATTAAATCACTACAGAACATGATTATTATATCTCATGAAACCCTGCAGATATAGCTTAAAGAACAATATGAGGACCATTTTTCACAAAGAAATGATAGTTTTTTAAAATAAGTTATCACAAAACTAAAAAGCCAAAGAAAACAATAAGACACATAAAAGCATAGCATAAACAACTCCAACCTTAAAAATTTGGTTTGTGACAAAAACTAAGCAAAAAGCATTCCTTCATCAGCAAACAGTGTTAGAAACCCCCCTATGTTACAGATGAAGTACCTTCTTAAAAACAGATCAAACTATCAATGTGATCCTCATTTGGGAACATAAAAGTTTTGCACGTAGGTTAAATTCAGTAAAACCACAAAGAGGGAGCCATCTACTGCTAGTGTTTAAAATTACATGTTGCTTTCCTAATTCCATACTTGTTCATCCAGGATTTCCTCAGACTAAGCAACAGAACAAATGTTTACACTGTCTGAATTTATAAAAAACCCAACCAAACTAAAACCAAAGCAAAGGCAAAACCAAAACCAATAGTGAGAATGCAAGTAATCTGAATGACGTACTTTCCTTTTCTCTGTATCACTATGACACAGATGTGAAAACAAGGGAAAAAATTAATTTTACAAGTATCATGACTTAAAACAATTTGTGCAAACAATTCTAAAAGAACCTACCTTATTCCTACAATATGAACATCTAAAAGACCCCCAAACCCCTCTTCCTCTTCACTTTATATATTCATCAGCACTGTGTCTAAGTAGCACATTCATTTCTGCTATTATCAGCTGGCTTCACCTTTTAAGTGGCTCTTCTTTAAATAGAAAATAACAGAGCTCTTTTTGTTGCTATTTAAAGAACACATTAAAAGGCAATATAATATTTTTTAATTTACCTACCCTGCTGAATAGAACTAATTTCTACTCTCAGTCAATTACAACTACAGGTGTGTATTAAGTGTCTGCCTCAAAGAACACCACAGGATACATGAAGACTCTACACAGGGAGCTACAGCAACACACAGTGATGGGGAGGGAGCAGAGGATGGTCAGCATTATAACGGGGACTAAACTCTCCTCGTGTCCACCAAACAGCAAACAGAGACTGCTTACACAGCTATCTCAAAGATTTTGCAGCAAATATTTCATATTACTCGTGCACTGAATTCCACTCAGCATATTAATTGCCAAAATACGTTTAGAAAGCAGTTATTATTACCATATAATTAAAAAAAAGTAATTAATTTTGAATCATAATAAAGTAAGCAATTAAAGCTATAACATCTTGAGGGTTTTTCCACTCGCTTGTGCTTAAGTTCACGTGCACCAAAACAGTCTCTCCAATGCTGCAGGATATTCTTTTCCAGTTAGCAGTTGTTATATCCGTCTTTCAAGTCTGAGTGCTGGATTTGATTTGATGCTGTCTATCAGTAGCTGTTCATTTAAATGTTACTATATTAGTAGGATCAATACTAATTTTATCAATTTTCTTTTAAAAAAAAACCTTATGATTTTATTAAAAACAGATCTTTGACCGGATAGATGTTATTGCTCCTACTCGCACTAGTGTTCTTGACATGGCCCATACAAGCACTGCTCGTATTGTCTCACGGAACACAAGAACAGCAGAGCATGGCTGCTACAGAGACTTCCCAACACCCCGTGTACTGCTAGACATTTATTTCCAATGTATTTCCAAGTCACATGGGAGTTCAAGATAGGGAAAGGGAGACAATTATTTTAACTGAATGAGGACTAGCTTTGCCTTTATCCAGTCCCAAAGCCACTGGCTACTTACTGTTAAAAGCAACATGTGAACAGCTTCTGCTGAACAACAGGTTTCATTCCTCAAGGCTCAGGGACCACTTCTGCTTCTACTAAAGGAACCAGGCAGCTTTAAAAGTAACATGGAGGGAAGGGCAGTGTTACTGAAGGCCTCTACTGAAGAAAGGTGTGGTCAATGCAGACAGGATGATTTTCACACATTTATTTGGTTCTCATCTGAGAAATTGGACACGCTTTCACTGTGCTCTGCCACAAGCTCCAGTTGCCTCAGAGAAGAACTGCCAAAACACCTCCGTTTCCATCAACACTGCCTTTAAAATCACCATCTCTTATCTGGCACTATAAATGGGAAAAAGGAAGCAAAATAAACTGAACTTTAGACACCTCCCCTTTGAAAAGTCCTCTGCATGCAGAACGTCCAAGCAGAGGATGTTCTGATGTAGGAAGCCAACAAAGCCCACGGTTTACGAGCCATTCATCTCTCTAAAACTCTTACAGACGCAACAACAGTATTTTCTAGAAAAATACTTATATAACCTGATACTATTACAAATATGCACAGCCTTCTGCGGCGCTAAAAAGTGATGAAATAAAGGAAGATATAAAGGACAACCAATAAAGCACAGAGCATGGAAAAAAAAAAAGAAAAACTCTTTACTCAGCATTTCAGTTACCTAATGAGCAGATAAAATGGGTGCTCCAGTCCCCACCCAGTGTAAACCAGTGTTAAAAGGAGAAATGCTGAGGACATGCTGCAGTACCCTGCCTCGCTGGAGAGGGCACCCCCTGGCCCCAGACACAGGTGTGGGAAATATGGGTTCAAAGCTCTTCCAGTAAATAAAGCCTCAAATGTCCACCATGACTCACAAGCAGCAAGCAACTTGCAATGCCCAAGGAGCTGCAATTTCTTCATCATCTTACTCAGATCTCCACTGCTACTACACATATGGGATTTGAGGGGCTCATCAGAAGACCTGGGATGGGGTAGGAAGAGGGACCTGGCAGACCTTTTAGTAGAATTCAAGTGGAATTTGAGAAATGATGACATGACAAGTAATTACAAAGGAATTGGTGGTGTCTCCTTTTCCCAATTTTCTCCTTCCCTCAGCCTTCCCTGTTCTACAAAATATTCCCTTATTTACTGTCCTCCTCCTTCAGAGGCTCTTGGATTTTTCTTCCCACCAGGTCTAATCCATCACCAAACAAGCATCCAGTCCTGTCCTCCTGCCCATGTAGCCTTCCTTCAGGTTCCTCAACCTAGGGGGAGGGAGGAACAGGGAAA